ATCAAGACCTTCTCTCTAAGTCAAAAAACAAAAAAAGTCTGGGGATTAGGCTCAGTGTTTAAGTGCCCCTGGGTTTGATCTCTAGTACCAAAACCCAAAAAATTTAAAAGGCCATTATTCCAAATAAGGTCATATTTTGAGGGTCCAGGCAGACATATATTTGGGGGTATCCCATTTAACCCACTACAAAGGCCTAATGTGTCTTTTTGAAGGGAAACCATCTTTTAGCTCACACTTGATCCCTGAAGCTTGTGAAATCTAGGACATTTAGGAAAGGGCTTCTTTTCAGTCCACCACAGTCACTATTCAAGCTCTTATGTCCCTATGAGAACAAGTAGTTTCTCTGGTCAGTCTACTTTTCCATTACCCATCTGAGTTTTGGGGATCTTCACAGTGGATCCTAAGGCTGCATACACTATGAAGTGTCCTCAAATATCCCATGACCTCCCTATCAGAGAAGAAAGTCTTTACCACTGCTGCCTCTTACCATTTGGTCTTCCTAACAGCCTGGTGACATGATTTGTAGGTCCAGTGCAAAACGAAAATACAGGGCTCCTTATTTTAAAATTATGAAGAATTTCATGAGGGTAACAGCAGAGCATTAAATGAAGCATGGGGCCCTGTGCAACCACATGAATGACTCGCTCACAAAGCCAGCCTTTCTTCTCAAACCCCAAGAGGTTAACTATCCCTTTTGGGGTTTAGTCAAATCCATCCCTTCCACTCCTTGTCCCTCTGGAAAATGAACACAACATAGAAACCTTCACCTCCCTTTTGGGCTATTATAGTTTAGATCTGAAATGTCCCCCAAAGGATTCTAACAAGCATGTCACCTCTAAAATGTGTTTACAGGTGAGGTTTTGGGAAGTGATTGGATAATGAGGACTCTGGTTTCATCAGCGGATTAGTTCATTGATGCCTAAATTGACTACTAGAATGTAGAACCTCGTTGAAAGAAGTAAGTCACCAGGGGCATGCCTTGGAAAGGTCTATCTTCTTTCCATCCCCTTCCTCCCTCCCTCCCTCCCTCCCCCCCCCTCTCTTTCTCATTCCTTCTTTCTCTCTCTACTTCCTGGCTGCCATGAGCTGATAGCTTTTCCCTGCCATGCCCTTCCACCATGATGTTTCTGCCTTGGAACCAGCTGGCCATGGACTGAAAGCCCTAAAACTGTAGACCAAAATAAATCTTTCTTCCTTTAAGTTGTTCTCATCATGTATTTTGGACACAGGGATGAAAACTAACATGGGGACCCAAAGGTTGAAATTCAGACTGCAGAGCCCGGTTGGCCATAATGAGAGACAAGGAAAAGATCTTCCTAATCATATTTCTGAGGAGTCCACAGCATAAAAATCAGACAAAATAAAAATAAGCACATTTAAAATCTATCTATAAGTTACTCCATTATAAAAGAATGTTGTCAGTTATTTTAAAAACAAAAGGCCACTCTCACAAGTTCTGAGGATCCTAGAAAATATGAGGATAGGTCTAGAAGTAAAAAACAAACACACACACAAAAACACAAACAAACAAACAAGCACTAAAATATCACATTACTTTTTCTTCTTACTCCAATTTAAATGCCATTATTTTAAGTTCTCAGATGTTCTATGGAATGGGGAAGCTACTGACCAAATTCTTTCTGGCTTATGTTTTAAAAACTGACACCAAAAAAAAATGTTAGCTTTGCAAAGCCAACCACAGGCTGACATACAAAAAGAAATGAGAACTAAGCAATTTAGGGTGTTAAAAATAGAAATTAGAACTAGTAACAGTGTTATCCCGCTTCCTGGGTTTTTCAAATTTCTTTCTTTTAGAAATAAAAATATGAAAACTATTTAGGCTGTTTAATTTTTTCAAGATGACTGATTTTCTTAATTTAAGTATTGTAATAACTCTTTATTGGGGCGGGGAAGTAACCAGGGATTGAACCCCAAGGTGCATAGCCACTGAGCCACATCAACAGTTCTTTTTAATTTTTTTTTTTTTTTTTTTTTTTGGTACTCAAGGGTACTCAACCACTGAGCCATATCCCTAGCCCTATTTTGTATTTTATTTAGAGACAGGATCTCACTGAGTTGCTTTGTGCCTCACCATTGCTGAGGTTGCAATTCTCCTGTCTCAGCCTCCCAAGACACTAGGATTACAGGCATGTGCCAGTGTGCCCAGACTTCTTTCATTTTTGAGACAGGATCTTGCTAAGTTGCTGAGGCTGCATTTGAACTAGTGATCCTCCTGCCTCAGCCTCTTGAGTTGTTGGGAATACATGTGTTAGCCACAGAACCTGACTAATAAATAAGTGCCCATTCTAAAGGAAATTGACAAAGTTTTTATTTTTTTCACCTAATAATTTCTACATTTAATCTTTTTTCATTTATTTATTTTTGGATACCGGGGATTTAACCCAAGGACAATTTTATCACTGAGTCACATCCCCAGCCCAGTTGATTTTTTTATTTACAGAAAGGGTCTTACTAAGTTGCTGAGGGCCTTGCTACATTGCTGAGGCTGGTATCAATCTTGTGATCTTTCTGCCTCAACCTCCTGAGTTGCTGGGACTATAGGCATGTGCCACCACACCTGGATCACATTTAATATTTCATATCAAGCTCAATGTTCTTTTTTTTTTTAATTTTGGTACTAGGGATTGAACTCAGGGGCACTCAACCACTAAGCCACATCCCCAGCCCTTTTTATATTTTATTTAAGAGACAGGGTCTCACTGAGTTGCTTAGTGCCTCACCATTGCTGAGACTGGATTTGAACTTGAGATCCTCTTGCTTCAGCCTCCAGAGCCAATGGGATTACAGGTGTTCACCACCATGCCCAGCTTCAGTGTTCTTTCTGTTAGGGCTGCAGAGCTAATATATTTCTGTTTTCATCATAATAGCAGGTTTTTAAAATATTTTTATAGTAGATGGAATACCTTTATTTTATTTTTATGTGGTACTGAGGATCAAACCCAGTGCCTCACATGTGATAGGCAAGCTCTCTACCAACTGAGCTACAGCCTCAGCCCAATAGCAGGGTTTTTTCCAACAAAGTTTGCTATGTAGTTTTCATAATTTTAAGTCTGTTGTTTTACAAAGTAAATAAAAAAAATATATGTGATGTGAAAATGTAACACATACAATCCCACAATTATGTATAATTCAGTGAAATAAAAGTAAACTTTCATCCCATGAGAAAGTATAGATATAAGTACACATATGAAAAAATGCTTCTCAAATTCATGAGTCATTAAATTATTTCATGGAATGATGTACAAATAGTAAGTATGTATAAAAGATGCCTGATTTCACCAGAGATATAAAAATGTATATTAGCTGGGGATAGTGATGCACATCTGTAATCCCAGCTTCTTGGGAGACTGAGGCAGAAAGATTGCAAGTTCAAGGCCACACTGGGCAACTAACCAAGACTCTGTCTCAAAATAAAATGGAAGGGCTGGGCACAGTGGTGCATGCTTGAAATCCCAGCTGCTCCGGAGACTGAGGCAGGAGAATCACGAGTTCAAAGCCAGCCTTTGCAACTTAGTGAGGTCCTGTCTCTAAATAAAATATAAAAATGGCTGGGGGTATGACTCAAGAGCTAAGCAACCTGGGGTTTAATTTCCAGTACCAAAAAAAGAAGAAAAGAAAAGGAATGGAAGGGCTGGGAATGTAGCTCAGCCTGCATGAGACCAGTTCCTGCTACTCAGGAGGCTGAAGCAGGAAGCTCACTTGAGCCCAGGAATTGAAGACTAGCATTGGAATCATAATGAGACTCAGCTAAAAAAAATGGGGGTTGAGGAAGCGTATCTCAGTGATACATCACTTGCCTAGTATGCTAAGGCCCTGAATTTGATCCCCAGGCTGCAAAAAAAAATGTATATTATAATAACTTATCCCAATATTAATCATATAACAATTACCAACTGTCATACTCTAGAAATATAATTATAAGAAATATCCATTCCATAACTATGGGAATCTTAGCATCTACAAAAAGGGAGAAGGGTGTGTTAGCAAATGAGTACTGATATTATTTAGGTGCTAATCAGAAATCTGTATGCATTTCTACGTTCTAAAGAAAGGTATGTTCAGCCAGGTGCGGTGGTGTACACCTGTAATCCCAGCGACTCAGGAGGCTGAGGCAGAGGATCACAAGTTCAAAGCCTATCTCAGCAACTTAGCGAGACCCTGTCTCAAAATAAAAAATAAAAAGGGCTGGGGATATGACTCAGTGGCTAAGTGCCCCTGGGTTCAATTCCTGGTACAAAAAAATAATAATAATAATTAAAGAAAGGAAGAAGAAGGGAATGTTTATTCTATCCAAACAGTAGGGTGCACTTCCTTCAGGAGGTAAACTTGTTCTGTCTTGAAAAATGTTAAAAATATTCAATGGTCGTTTGGTCTTTGGGACTTAGGATAGGTTACTATATTCCAAGTAAAGCAGCAGGAGCAGCCAGAATGCTGCTGTGAAATGGTAAGGTGCAAAAAGCTCAGTATTCCTGGGATCTATGCGTTTGAGGCTGGGGAAGTAGTATCGTGAGATAGTATGTGTCAGACAGTCATTTGTAAGAACTAAGGACTTTGAACTTTATTTCATAAGGACTCATAAGTCATGGACTAGTCTTTTCTATTTATTTCCTACCCTGGATCATCCTGATTCAGAGAAGTAATCATTGTGATCAATGATTACTGTGACAGATTATTTGAAAAATGCTTTCTATCATTCATTTCCCTCTGTTCATGCCTTGGGTAGTCAGCCCCCTTCGCTATGACTCTAGGCTTGGTCATGTGACTTGCTTTGGAGAATGGGACAATAATAAATAGGAGACTTGAGAAGTGCTTTCATATTAAAGTTGTACTTGGAACCCATGGAACCATTACCATGTAACCCAGTCACCTTCATCACTCCAGCCAAATATGCTAAACCAATCATTTCTATTAATGCATACTCATTAGGGAAAAGCAGAAAGATAGAAAGAAAGAAACATTTTATCCATAATCATACTATCTAATTATAACCATCATAAGCTTTTTTAGTTTATTTCCATTTTTCCCTCTGCAAAAACGCGTTTTCTTTATGGTTATAATCTTCTAAAGGACACATTTATATCTTACTTTTCAATTTGTATTAAACAAGCATATTTTCTCATATATTACTCTTCAAATATTCCATGATTAATGGCTGAATAATAGTCTATCCAGTGAATGAAATATAATTTCTTTGCTGTTGTTGGGGAATGAGGTATATGATTCAATAAACCTTCATAAGCATAAAATTCTTTCTAAATTTAGGATTATTTCCTTACAATTTTCCCATCAAGCAGAGTAACTGGATCAAAAGGCATGAATATCTTGGGATTGGGGATTTGTTTCAGTGGCAGAGCACTTGCCTAGCATGTAAAAGGTTCTGAGTATAGTCTTTGATCCTGGAAAAAAAAAAGACATGAATATCTTTCAGAATCAGTATATATTGGCAATTTTCATATAGGATTTCTTTCTTTCTTTTTTTTTTTTTTTTGCTGCTGGGGATTGAACCCAGGGCTGCTTAACCACTGAGCTATATCCCCAGCCCTTTTTAAAATTTTTATTTTGAGACAGGATCTCACTAAGCTGCTTGGGTCTTGCTAAATTGCTGAGGCTGGCTTTGTACTTGCCATCCTCCTGCCTTGGCCTCCCTAAATGCTGGGATTATAGGCCTGTACCACCACACCCAATTTTTTTTGTTATGTTTTAGTAGTATTGGGGGTTGAACCCAGTGGTGCTCTACCACTGAGCTACATCCCCAACCCTTTTTATTTTTTGAGATAGGATCTTGTCAAGTTGCTAAGGCTGGCCTTAAAATTGTGATCCTCCTGCCTTAGCCTCCTAAATTGCTGGGATTACAGGTGCACCATGGCCCTGTGGGTTTTTCTGATGCTATTCATTTTTTTTTTGTTTTTCATCTTGTTAATTTGTAAAAGAAGTAAATTCTGGTTCCCATTTCAATTACTTCTCCAATATTAATGAGTTTGAAGAATTGGAAAGTCACATATTCTCAGTCCCTATCAGAGTACTAGGCCAGTTGATCTCTTATATAACTCTTATATGTCTTTCTTCCTATAATCTACACAATAGCTTCCTCAAATCTTGTATACAGTAAGTGCCTAGAAATAGCTATCTATTTTATTCTGTGTTTGCACAGCAATTTACAAATACTGAGAAAACATCAGGGGCCAGGCATGGTGGCATACACTTGTAACCCAGTGGCTCAGCAGGGTAAGGCAGGAGGATTGCAAGTTCAAAGCCTACTTCAATAAAAAGTGAGATGCTAAGCAACACAGGAAGACCCTGTCTCTAAATAAAATAGAAAATAGTACTGGGGATGTGGCTCAGTGGGAAAGTGCCCCTGAGTTCAATCCCTGATACCCAAACAAAAATAAAAAGGAGAAAAAATCAGCTGTCCATATCCAAGAATGGGCCTATCAACAAGAATTTTATTGCTAGGAGGCCCAAACTCCCCCAATACTACCCCTTGCCAGGAATCCATACCACAATATTTTTTGCACTTATAAATACCCCAACTGTTGGCGTTTTTAAGAATTTTGTTCAAGAGTTCCATAGATCCATAAATATTAGATAATGTGAACAGACTCTTAGAGAGGAGAGGGGTTCTTGGTTCATAGAACAAAAAATCAAATGTAGTAGCAAGAATGGAAAAATGTTATTACCAGATTTTTCTTATACAATTATCTCAAAAAAAAAAAAGCCTTCCCACAACTTTACTGCCACCATCCTATCTGAAACACATTTGTACTTACCTGGATTACTACAATGTCTTCTCAATTCCATCTGATCTCCTTTATAGTCAATGCTCCTGAAGACTTCAGAAATCTTCCTTTCTCCTTTATTCATTTGACAGAGAAGGAAACTTGCATAGTGACTTGGTCAGCCTCCTCTGATACATTTTTAGCTACATACCACCCCCTCAGTGGGAAAAATGTAAATGCATAAGCCCAAATCAACCCATTCCTTGTCTATAGGATTTGAGCCTTTCCCATACCTAGATAGAAAAAGAACCTTGGTTATTGTCTAGGCAACCTTTAATAGCCTCCCTCACCTGTTCAATTCCCAGCCTACAACATGGAGGGAAAAAACCTTCCTTATGTTTGTTCATTCCATAAATCTTGAATATCTGTTATGGGATGGGAAATGTGCTATGTACTAGGGACAGGACAGTGAGAATGAAATAAATGACCCTAGTATTTGGGCACTTACATTCTAGCCAGATATACTGACTAAAGTAAATAAACAAATGAAGAGAAAATTCATACAGTATGATAAGCGCTAGAAAGAAAACAGTGTTAGACTAGTTTAGAAAGTCATGGGAAGGGATAGTTGACAAAGGCCTCCCTGAGAAAAATGACATTTAAACAGAGACTTGAAAAAAGAAAAGAAGGGGAAAGGTTGGGTATATAGAGAGGCTGAAAATGAACAATCAATTCAAAGGCTCTGAGGTGGAACAAAAAAATTGGCAAATTGAGTGAACTGAAAAAAGACTAGAACATTCTTGGTGCACAGTGAGAAAGAGGAAGTTTAACATGAAATGTACCTGAAACATAAGCAAGACTCCAATCATGTAAGGTCTTAGAGACTATGGTAAAAGACATTGGATTTTATTCACAGTAAATGAGAAAGCACTGATGAGTTAAATAAGGGAAGAGAAATCATTAAATATTCCTTGATGTTTTGTGGTAAATGAGTTGCAATGGGCAATGGTAGTGGTGGAAAGCCCAGGTAGGAAGTTATGGCTCTAGCCAGGTGAAAGATTATGGTGACTGGGACTGGGCTGGTGGCATGAAGATGTAAAGAACTGAAGGGACCTAAGATACATTTTAAAGGTAAAATCAAAAGAAATGGCTTTGGTGTGGTGGTGCATGCCTGTAATCCCAGAGGATCAGGAGGCTGAGGCAGGAGGATCCTGAGTTCAAATTGATTGTTCATTTTCAGCCTCTCTATATACCCAACCCTTCCCTTTCTTTTCTTTTTTCAAGTCTCTGTTTAAATGTCATTTTTTCTCAGGAAGGCCTTTGTCAACCATCCCTTCCCATGACTTTCTAAACTAGTCTAACACTGTTTTCTTTCTAGCGCTTATCACACTGTATGAATTTTCTCTTCACTTGTTTTCCAGCCACAGCAGGAAAACCCTAAGCAACTCATTGAGACCCTGTTTCTAAATAAATTATTTTAAAAAGGGCTGGGGAATGTGGCTCCCCTGTGTTCTATCTCCAGTACCAAAAAAAAAATGCTTTAAAAAATCTACTTTCACCAAATAGAAATAGATTGATTTGTTTCATGAATAATTTTTAATTACATATATCATTAAATATCCCTAGATTAAAATGACAATAAGATAGGTGAAAATTTTTCTAAAAGATAAGTTATACTGAGATATTTCTTAAATAATAAATCTCTTTAAATATCTCTAGATTAAAATGGCAAAAAGATAGGTTAAAAGCATTCCAGAAATAAAAAGTAATTTATCCTGCCATTTGTGATTTACAGAAATTACTCTAAAAGACTTAGATGAAATTTATAATTGGATGACTGATGACTCAGAGAATGTCTAATCTGGAAAAATAAACTTTTAAAAAGAAAATTGCTTATGGATTGAATGTAAAAAGTGGAATTGAGGATGACTCACCCAAGGTTTTGGTTGAGTAACTAGTTGATTGACACTGCCTTTTACTGGGATAAGGACAAGTAAGCAGGGCACAGGGTAAAGGCTGTGCACAGGGATTAAAGTTTCAGTTCTGGACAGGTTAAGTTTGAGATGGACTTAGTCTTCTTGACTCTGGATAAGGCAAACATAAGGTGGTTCTTTATGAAAATAAATGTGGCCTAAATTGGCACAACAACAAGTTGAGAACTAATAACAGTGGAGGAAGAGAGTAGAATTTGTAAAAGACCTCCCCAAAATAAAATCACCTGGAACTTGTTGAATAATTAAACTGTGAGGTAGGCACAGGATTATTGCTCTATCGTAATAGATAAGTAAACAAAACTAGTAGAAACTTAAAAACTCATCCTAAACTACACAGGTAATTAAGAAAGAAGCTAGGGTTATATAAATTGCATAATTTATAATAAATGTGTAAAAGATCACCTTATTTTCCTATGACCTTGTCTTCCAGCTCTGAATTGCTCCTTCTGTGTTTGGCTGATGAAGTCAGGGCTGAGAATCTGCATTTTTTGCTTTGCCAGCTGCTCGCTGTTAGGCTCTGCCACCAGAGGGAGCTAGATAGAAACTGTAAATATGGAGAAGAAATTTACTCTTCCCCCTCTGCTTCCTACACCTTGGCTCTAGTAGTTCTTCCCAGAGAGAAAAATCCCCCCACCCTTCCTATGAGGTCTGGGTCCCAGGCCCCTCCTCTAAGTTTTGAAGTTTTAATAAGTAGAATCTTTTCTTTCTGTTCACTCAGCCATGACACTTTTGCATGCTTATTTTATCCTTTCAGACTTAAAAGATATTTGGAGAGTCCTGGGGACTGAACCCAGTGGTGCTTTACTACTGGTGCTTTAACAAGCCCAGCCCTTTTTTATTTTTTTATTTTTTATTTTGAGACAGGGTCTCTAAGTTTCCCAGGTTGCCTGTAACTTGCGATCTTCCTGCCTCAGCCTCCCAAGTACTTGGGATTACAGGTGTGCACCACCTGACTTGACTTCCTACTTAAAGATTATATATATGTATACATATCAGCAGTAGAGCACTAGCCCCCTAGCCCCGCACATGAGAGGCTCTGGGTTCGATCCTCAGCACCACATAAAAATAAATAAATAAAATAAAGATATTGTGTCCAACTACAACTAAAAAAGTAAATATTTAAAAAAAGATTCTTTATATTAAATTCTGCCCAGAGAACTGGCTGACCTGGTGCAGTCCGAGTGCCTTGCAGAGAGGGCACTGGGCTCTGCAACCAAGCAGCTGCTGCCCTGTGAGACGGCCTGCAATGAGAAGCTGGGCAAGTCAGTGGTGGCCAAAGTGAAAATTCCAGAAGGCACCATTCTCACACTGGACATGCTTACTGTGAACGTTGGTGAGCCCAAAGGGTATGTGCCCTTAATCTGGTGGGCAAGAAGGTTCTGGTTACTATTGAAGACAATAATACCATCTTGGATGAATCAATAGAAAATCATGGCAAAAAAAAAATCAAGTCAAAAAAAAGTGCCATTCTCTGAAGTTTTTTTTAAAAAAGATTCTTTATATTAAATTCTATTTAAGTGATAAATGTGTCATCTGTCTGATGACACCCATGGCTGATACAAACCTGAAAAGTAGAAAATACCAGACAATATAACTTATAAATAGAGATGCTAAATGCTAAATAAAATTTTGTAAGCTCAGTAGCAAAACAGTTAAGGCACAGCCTGTGGCCATGACATAAACCATCCTGGTGGAGTAGGCCTAATTCATGAAATCATTAATTTATTCACTAATTTAATATATTCTTATATATATGCATACCCATATTTATAGCAGAACAATGTAGCAGCCAGGAATAGGGAGGGTACCCCCCCCCAAAAAAAATCAGTCTTTTCCTACTGGAGTTTACCATCTGAAAGAGAAATCTGATGTTGCTTAAACAATCACACGAGCACATACTCCATGACAGCTTTCAATAGGGTATGTGACAGGGTCAGGGAGGTCAGGGAAAGCTTAACACTTGAACTGAGATCTACAGCATGCACAGATAGCTTTCCAGGCAGAGAGAAAGGAAGAGAGGAAGTCATTTGCTAGGAGAGAGCATAGGTTAATAGGGGAAAGCAGAAGAGCCAAAGTGCCGAGAGTGGAAAGAGTGAAAGGGAGTGATCTGGAAGAGTCTGGAAAAGTAGGAAGGGGCCATATCATGCCACAGTCTCTGGGCATGTCGAGGACTTTTGCTTTCACTTGAAGCTATAGTAATCAAGGTAGTGTGGCATTGGTATAAGGATAGGCATATATATCAATGGAAGAGAATCGAGACTCCAGAAATAAATCCAAACATCTATGGCCAATTGATTTCTGACAAGACGTCAATACCATCAAATGGGGAAAGAATGGTCTCCATAATAAATGGTGCTGTGATAAATGGTGCTGTGACTGAAGTCAGGCCTTCACCTCACACCATATTAAAAAAATTAACACAAAGTGGATCATGGACCTAAATGTTAAAGCTAAAACTTTAAAACTCTTACAAGAAAATAGAGGAGTGCATTTTTATGACCTTGAATTAGGCAAAGAGTTCTTAGACATAATACCAAAAGCACAAAAAACTATTAAACAAATAGTTGATCAACAAACTTTTCTCAAAAGAAGCACAAATGGCCAAAAACTATATGAAAAATAATTTAACATCTTTAACCATCAGGAAAATGCAAATCAAAACCACATTGAGATTTCATCTCCCTCTAGTTAGAAAGGCAAGCATTGAGAATACAAATAATATGCTGGGTGTGGTAATGTATGCCTGTTATTCCATTGACTTGGGAGGCTGAGGCAGGAGGATCACAGGTTTGAGGCCAACCTGAGAAACTTAGCAAGACTCTGTCTCAAAATATTTTTTAATTAAAATTACAGAATACAAATAAGTGCTGGCAAATTGTGGGAAAAAAAAGAACTCATACACTATCGGTAGGGTTATAAATTATCACCACAATGGAAATCAGTCTGGAATTTTCTTTTTTCTTTTTTTCTTTTAGTCTGGCATTTTCTTAAAAGATTAGGACTGAAACCAACATATGATCTAGCTATAACCACTCCTCAGTATTTATCCCAAAGTACTATAGTTAGCATACTTTAGCAATATATGCATGCCCATGTTTATAGCAGCACAATTTGCAATAGTCAAGTTATGCAACCAAAGTATCTGTCAACAGATGAATAAAGAAAATGTTATATATATATATATATATATATATATATATATATATATATATATATATATTACACACATAACAAGAGTTTTATTCAGCTATAAAGAAGAACAAAATTGTGTCATTTGCAGGAAACTGGCTAGAACTGGAGAACATCATGTTAAGTGATATAAGTCAGACTCAGAAAGTCAAAGGTCATGTTTTCTCTTACATGTAGAAGACATAAAAAGGGGAAAAAAGAAGATTCCATGAAAATAGAAGGGAGACCACTTGGGTAGAAAGACATTAGGGGGAGGGAGAAAGGAGGCAAGGGGAGTTACTGGGAAATGCAATTGCTGGAAGCATATCATGTGCCTGTACATGAAAATGAAATGAAACCCACTATTCTATGTAACTATTATGGACCAGTAAAAAATTTTATTATTTTTTTAGTTACAGATGGACACAATACCTTTATTTTATTTGTTTATTTTTATGTGATGCTGAGGATCTAACCCAGTGCCTCACATGTGCTAGGCAAGCGCTCCACCACTGAGCTACAACCCCAGCCCCACTAATAAAATTTTTTTAAATATTTATTTATTTTTAGTTGTAGTTGGACACAATACTTTTATTTCACTTATTTATTTTTATGTGGTGCTGAGGATGGAACCCAGGGTCTCGCACAATTGAGGCGAGTGCTCTACCATTGAGCCACGTGCTCTACCATTGAGCCACAACCCCAGCCCAATAAAAAAAAAAAAATTAAAAAGAACTGGCAAGTTGGACTTCATCAGAATTGAAAATTTTGCAATAAGGAAAGTGCAAAAGATAATCCAGACACAGGAAAAATATTTGCAAGTCATATATCAGAGAAAGAACTTGTATCTAGAATATATAACTCTTTCAACTTAATATTACATGGAGCTGTAGCTCAGTAGTAGAGTGCTTGCCTAGCACGTGCGAGGCACTGGGTTCGGTCCTCAGTACCACATAAAAACAAATAAATAAATTAGGTAAAGATATTATGTCCCTCTACAACTAAAAAAAATATTTAAAAATAATAATACAAAGTCACTGGGCATGGAGTCTCATGCCTGTAATCCCAAAAACTCAGGAGGCTGAGGCAGGAGGATCAAGTTCTCATCAAGACTCCGCAACTTAGCCAGACGCTGTGTTAGTCAGCTTCATGTCACAGTGACCAAAACATCTGACAAGAACAACTTCGAGGAGGAAGTGTTTATTTTTTATTTTTGGTACTGGGTATTGAACTCAGGGGCACTTAACCACTGAGCCCCATCCTCAGCCCTTTTTTGTATTTTATTTAGACACAGGGTCTCACTGAATTGCTTAGGGCCTCACTAAATTGCTGAAGCAGGCTTTGAACTTGTGATTCCCCTACTTCAGCCTCCTGAGCTGCTGGTATTACAGGTGTTCACCACCACACTTGGTGGAATAGTTTATTTTGGCTCTTGGTTTCAGAGGTTCAGTTCATGGTCAGCCAACATCATTATCTTAGCCTGAGGTAAAGTAGAACATCATGGTGGAAAGGTGTGGCCTAGTAAAGCTGTATAGTTCTTCTGGGAAGCAGAGAGGATTCAAGGTGCTAGGGACAAAATACAAACCCCAAAGGCATGCCCCCAGTGGCCTACTTCCTCCAGTCACACTCTACCTGCCTACTGTGACCACCCAGTTCAGTAATCCTTTCAAATTATTAATCTATCAAGTGAATTGGGTTATAGCTCTCATAATCTAATCATTTCACATCTGAACATTGCTACATTGTATATGAGCTTTTAGGGGACACTAAAACTCAAATCATAACCTTGTCTCAAAATAAAAATAAAAAGGCCTGGGGATATAGCTCAGTAGTAGAGCTCCCCTGTGCTCAATCCACAGTACCACAAAAAATGGAGGAGGGTAGTAGGTAGTCAGTCAGTGGTTAAGTGCCACTGGGTCCAATTCCCAGTACTGAAAGAAAAAAAAAAAACAATGGAAGTATTGCTATGAATTAAAAAAAAAAAGGATGACAGCAAGTTTTGGCAAGAATGTGAAGAAATTGGAAACCTCATACTTTGCTGATGGGAACATAAAGTGGTGCAGCTGCTTTGGAAAATGGTTTTCACTGTTTACTTTTAAATTAAACAAAAATTTACCACTCAACCTAGTAATTCCACTCCTAGATACATTCCCAAAGTGAAACAAAACATGTCACCAACTGGTGAATGGATAGACCAAATGCAGTATTTTGAAGTACCATTCACTGAGGAAAGCTGGATAAATGTTGTTTCTTTCCCTTTATTTTACCAGCTTTAAAAATAATCATTTGGTTTCCCAACATCCACCAAAATGACCCATGGATTAAAAAAAAATTTTTTTTTCTGGTACTGGGGACTGAACCCAGGGACACTTAACTACTGAGCCACATCCCTAGCTCTTTTTATTTTAAGACAGTGTCTCATTAAATTGC